GCTGTAAGATTTGTATCGTTTTGTAACCACGTACAACGTCAAAGTAAGCCTCTATTATTGACGTGAACGCCGTCAGCACGCCATGACGGTTGCTAGCTTGTTAGCTGTCGCCTTCACTAGCTGGGTTGAGGAAGAGACTGTGGGAAACACCGTTTTTAATTAGGTATGAACAGTATCTACATACTTTATTCGTGTAGACATTAACCGTTAGAAAGGAAGGACGTTTCAATCGTGTCTACGGGTTTCTTCATAGTGTGCCTCGGATGGTGCCAAAGACGCTGAGGCAATAGAGGCAGACAGGAATGGCGGCCGTGAGGGGAGTCACAGCGGCCCGCCGACGGTTTGACTGTTGGGGAAAAGCTTCCTGACTCTCCAAGGAACTGTGAGTAATGACAAGACACACTGCATGGACGCAAAGATAACGCATTAGAAGCAATGGTATGAAATGGTATACATCTGTCTCCTAGGTGGGCATACTCGTGATTGCAAGTCCATGTCAACACAAAACAACAAGATACAGTACAAAGCTGTGCATTATTTTGTCTCTCATTTTTACCTGCTAGCTTAATATCAGATCAACCCCGTATAAAATCATATCAGTCTAATACTATTCTCTTTTCCCCCTCCGAAAATAGTTAAATTATAAAAACAATAATATTATTATTAACCAAAGAAACACAAGTTTTATTTAAGTTTTAACTTAAAAAAAAAATCCTGGGCATTCAAACTTCTGTCCATTCATTTTCTGCAGCTCATGTAGGGGCATGTTGCAGGGAGTTCAAACTTTATTTTTATTTTCAGTTCATTATCATAAAGGCTGTTTAGAGTTGTGAACCACCTGATGTTACATTTACAATGTGCTATAGCTGTATTGATATCATAGTTGTAGAATAAGCATGAGCAGCGTCAGGTAATAACACATGACTCTGTAACGTGTTACAGTTATGTGAATCATTTTTTCAGTTACAAGTATTGTAAGGATTGCAATTTGAAATTCAGTAATTACATTACATTTACTGATCACAGTAACACACTAGTTAGTTTGACATTAGGTTGTCTGCTTGTTCACTGTCCTACTGGGAGTTTGAGGGCTGATGTCTGTTTAGTGGGTAACCTGGTCTGGGATATGGTTGAGGTGTGGGGTAGGTGGTAGCCTTTGCCTTTGGTGGAAGTTGTATGTTCATGTCCATACGTGTATATGCAGACAACCAAAGTTGTTTAACTGTGTTAGTTTTGGAGCATATCAGCAGGCAGGGGATTCAGTGGTATTTGATTGGTTTAGACATGTGGACACCATCTATGTAGGCAGCATTTTAAAAATCATAGTGATGCATAGAGAGCCATGTCACAGCCAGGCTAGAAATATTTCCAGCCTGGCACTCACTTGGGTCAAGAAGTGTCTAGTTCTTCCTGTTTCAACTGTTATTACCCTCAATTACTCTGTGACTGCCCCTCCTCCTCTCTACCTTACATTGATGTAAGAGATGAAAATTGTGTTAACTTGACTCCCAGAAAGTTGCAGTGACACATCTTCGTGCCCCATGTGGTGCCTGCGTCACGTCCACACAGAACCTAAAACCCCACTGGCGGTGAGAACTCTTCTCCCTTTTATTCCACCACAGTGATTTTCTCAATCCTCTCCACTGTTGAGCACCTTTTGGTGTCTGTGTTTCCCCTTGTAGCCTCCCTTTGCAACATAGCCACCATGTATGTGTGTCTGCCGTCACAGCGATGGAAATTGACAAGTGGCCCCACAGTGCTGTGAACTCCCGACCCTGCTTTGCACCAACTTTCAGAGCGTTATAGCATGACAGGAAATTGGGGAGAAGACGCACTCCAATTCAACCCTCGCCCCCCTCCCTTCTGGGGCGTCTTAAATACTTCTCTCCCTCTCCAATGATAGTAAGAGAGCATGACCACTGCAGGCCATGCACTTACTCTTAGAGATAGTGTTGTATCCATTTGTTTGTAAATGATGATCTAATTGGAAGGGGTTTTTACTGGTTTGGTTCAGTCACACCCCTCTCATCAATCTAATTTCCAGCTGCCATTTTTAAATGCCCTTTATGTGACCTGCCCAGCTTCAAATGACAGACAGTTAGTGGCTGACTGATGAACACAGCAAAGATATATTGGAGTTAGAGCCAACATTTGGCCACAAACATGACTCCAAATAAATGCAAATGTTGCTCCATGTCTGATGGATGTGTGAATAAAACAATCAAGTTCTCCTTATCAACGTTATAAGTGGATAAAACTATAAATGAATGTTTGTAGCTTATTCCACTGACCCCAAAATGGCAAAACACTCAGTTAATGCAGCTTTAAAATTTAAACATGGAGTAGTGGAGCAATTTAACCATCACATAATCTGTGTTTAGAAATATTGCTTGCTCAATTTTTTATTTTTGTGTGTCTGTGTGCGCTCGCACTCATGTGGTTTCACAATAAAGGATAAAGAGACTATTGGCCACCTGGGGCATCAAATCTGGAGACTGACCCTTCGGTCAGCACAGCAGAAGGTCAAACTTCCAGCGGCATTCAGAATTGCTTGAAGGTGATTGGAGCTGATCAACCTGCCCAGCAGCCTGCTGAGTGTCAGGAGTAACAGTAAAGCAGTCCCACACATCCACTACACCACATCTTTATCTTGTATTGTCTCCCTCTGTTCTGCAGTGATAAACTAACTTCACCAACTGGACTAGGAGGTTTTTTTTCTGTGGTCAGACTTCTTATTGCAGCAATGGAGAAAATCTGGCATCGTCCCTTTAGTTTCCAAATGGTCAGGACAAGGAGGAGCACTGTGGCTCCTTTCCCTGGTTTTTAGCCTCTAGTAATTATGCGCCAGATATCTGAGCCACTCCTCCCTGCTTCACCCAAACTAAAGTTCTTGTTTTTGTGTCCTCTTCCTGAGTCAGCAATCTGTTTGAAATGACGGGGTGTATTTAGTGGGAAGTTTTCTTTTTTAATACAGTACACTGTCAGAAGTGGGTAACCCATAGCTTTGATTTTCTTGGCTACTACATGTGGAAGGAAGTGAAAATAGTTTTAATGTAAAAAAAAAAGGCTTGACAGTGCAAGCATTTCACTCACATTTGTGCCTAAAAATAGATGTTTGTGAACTGTAAAATGTATTCAGGAGCACCGTGTGTGAATAAAAAGTATTACAAAATTCAGGCCAAGCAGCGTCTGAAGTTAACAACAACAATGGCGATGCTGTGGTCAATGTGCTGACCGTTGAAAAAAAATCAGATGCTCAACTCATCAGCACAGTCCTGCTGTGGACTGCTGGCTGAGCTGAAAGTGGGCCGCCTACAAAAGTAGTAGCCTGCTGCTTAAGCCAGTGAAAATTGGCAAGTGACAGTGAAATATTCATTGGCTGAAGCTATGACTGACTGTAGTTGTTAAGATACACAGGTTCACTGAGCTCCGATGCTAATAATCATTAGCAAAACAGTGTAGAAAATATGCTCCTCGTCTTAGCTGGTGCTGAGTGTCGCTTTCTGTGGTTAAACTGACAAATGTCGTATCAGCTCTCATTAATGTTAATTCATTCAGTAACTCGATGTCAGGCGTAAATCACACTTGGCTGACTTGCGCTTTCTACATGCTTCTTTAAGTACTTGTCAAAGACAGTTTTGAGGGAAGAAGCTCCACTCTGTAACAACACTGTACAACCACAAATGAGCCTTTCTCAAGTTCATACAGAGTGTGACTTCTTCTTTCCCTTCATATCACTGTCAGGGGGGAATTCTCCTAACTGAACCTTTTGTCATATCATAGCATATCTGTAATTTAAGCTTGTAGACTATATTTTTGAAGCAGGACCTTCAGTATTTGTGTAGTATCAACATCATGATGACCATCGCAATTACAAAATTCTTAAATAAATACAGAAAGAAATAATTAAAAACCTAGTGTACTCTTTGTATTCAAATAAATTAAATAATTTTGCTTGTTAAAATCTCCTTGTATCCCTTTATAGAAGAAAAACACATTATTTGATAAATTTTCACTGGGCCTCTTAAGTTCTTTATGTGCTCCTATATTTCTCAACTAAAGAGCACAAGTGCTCCTTGTAGAAAAAAAAGTGAGCGTTGACTCCTGTGAAAGGTTTAAATTTAAGGATTCAATGGAGTGAAAATTAATATGTGAAAGGAGGCGTATATTTTGATGTCTATAATGCTCAGAAGATTTGTCACTGATGAAACACTCAGCTGCAGCAGCACTGGCCACTGAATCCACCCAGTGTTTTCAGTGACTGTACCATGATAAGAAAGCTTGTCCTCTGACTTCCAGTGCATTAGTAAAAAAGAAAAAAAAAGAATGATCAGGTGAGAACTTGTTATAGAGTTGATATTTATGCTGGTGCTTATAAAGAATAAGTTAAGTTTTGATTCAATTCACCAAAACAGCCTCAGTAGGGACTTTATAGTTAATATAATATTCCAATCATAGGTCATTTACCCACATGCAGTTATATTATTAAATTAACTAATACACAGCCATGACTATGGACAGACTCATTGGGTTCAACACTAACAAACAAAAAAAAGCCCCAGGAGATGCAATGTTTTCCGTCAGTGCTTCCTAAATTTTTGACACTGTAAATAATAGTTCAGCCAAGAACTGGATGAGTTTTACTTGTCACGTTGTTTCATTTGATTAGGCTGAAAAATGTTTAGTAATCAACAACAGAAGAAAAAACAACAAATCATTGATCCGTCTACAAGTATGTTGAAGCTTCTCACTAATGTCAGCTCTCAGCTGGTGTTGTCTGTGTCCTCCACAGCATAAATCTATTCGATATTTGTTCACTAAAGTTTTGTGGAATAATCTGACACACAAAATGAAAAATGCCCAGGTTTAGATTGGTCTGCAGACACTATGTGACCATGTTAATGTGACATTTGATGGTGTGACTGAAGGCTTCAATATCAGTCAAACAACATTTACATTGATATCAACCAAACATAGGAGAAGACTAGGATATATCTCAGTTTTTAATTACAAGTGCACAGCTGGTAGTTTTGATCATGGACGAGTCACATACATGAGAAAGAAACAGATATTACATTTCAACAATTACAGTATCACCTACTGTAGATGCCTTTGGGTTCTGTACACGCCTCCAGACACAGCCGTGCTTAAGGCAATATACTATATTATACATACTGTAGATTACAGTATTAACATTACAGCCATGAAGAGTATCCCTGGAATGTGGCATGCTGGGATGGGTGGCAACTGCTTCTCTTCATAGGTCTATAGGCCTCCACATGTTCTGAACCAGTCCTTTGGTTCCTTGAGAAAAAGATCTGGAGTTCACGTGTCTTTGACAAACAGTCCACTGCAGATCAGTTCGTTACAAGGTTTGTTTGAAGGACAGGCACCGACAACTCTGAGGAGTTTTCTAGGACTGACACGGGTGAAGGACGGTGAATCTACTTTTATCTAATAGTAGTTCTCGGATTATATATTTCTTTGCATACAGAACAGTTAAACATGTGGCCTGAAGCACATCACAGTATTCCTCTACACACAAAGATACAGAGAGGAAACTACAAATCTTCTCATAAGAAAATACTTGAATTCTCTGCATGCTAAATGAGACAGTTTGCATGCATAATTTTTCAGTCTCCCTTCTGGCTTATTTATTGATTTAAAGAGAGTTGGATGAGAAAATAAAATAAAAGAAAGTGAGAACCTCATCCTATTAATGATTCATCATAAAAACAACTCGTATATCACCAGTATCCAGGATTATTTTGATCCAAATGAGCTCAAATGTTTGGACGAGAAAGAATCTGTTGAGGCTCCAGCGACAACATCGGTTTCCTTTTCCAGAATGAGGAGACATTGCGCTTGGGATGTTTTGATGGAAAATGATCAGAGAATAAGGAAAGAACACATTCCACATCAAATCCGTCACAATTTGTCCATTTCGGAGCCAATAGTTGTTTGAAACATTTACATAACAAAGATTTACTTTTTTTTGTTCTTGTATCGTCAGACTTTATTGTGGCTCATCCCTAGCTGCTGATCTTGGTCAGCATCTTGTTGATGGCCTGTTTGACGTGTGTGGTGGAGCTGCGGCGTCTGGCCTTGCCCTGCACGGCCTTGCGACGCCTCACCTCACGGCAGAGCTCGTGGAAAGCCTCGGCCACTGCGCCACCTTCATCAGCACATGCTGAACATTCATAAAATGCGCATGCCATTTCAGCCGCCAGCCGCTCGCCTTCCTCTGTGCCAACTTGCCTGACATGGTCCAGGTCCGACTTGTTGCCCACCAGGACCAGAGGGACATTCTTTGGCTTCTTCACCTCCTCTAGGAGACTCCGGAGCGGCGCCACCTCCTCAAAGCTTCCCCGGTCTGTGATGTCATACACGATGACGAATCCATCACCCCAACGCATATGACCCTCCTTCTGCTGGATGTCCTCCTGAAATCAGGACAAAATCACGGTGATGAACTTCTAACTTGAACTCTTCAGAAGACTCTTAAAGGAACAGTTCAACATTTTGGGAAATTCTTGTATTATGTCTCTTGCAGAGAATTAGATGAAAAGCTTGATGCCACTGTCATGTCTGTATGGTAAATATAAATCTACAGCTGCTTAGCTTAGCATAAAGACTGGAAATGCGGAACAGCTAGCCAGGCTCTGTCCAAAATCCTTTACAGCAACACCTCTGAAGCCAACCAATTAACACATTCGATCTTGTTTGTTTGATCTTTACATAAACTAAACTGTAAAAGTGGCAAGCCGTGGTTTTGTGCCAGGTTATGTGCAGAAGTGTCTCTTGGCTGCCAGACTAAGGTTTTTTTACAAATTGAACAACATATGATGTGTTAAATAGTGAGTCTCAGAGGGCCTGGAGGTGGAGGTTTTTAACTTAGTTTGGACAGATTCAGGCTGGCTGTTTCCCCTGTTTTAGTCTTAGGTGTTAAGCTAAGATAACTGGCTGTAGAGGATTTTTCTTAATAGCTCTTGCATAAGTGACAATTTGAAACAAGTATTTTCAGTCCTTGTGCGCTTTGACTTTTTATGCCCGTTTGGGTTTGAACATAAAAACATTTATTCTGGGCAGTTTACAGCCATGTTCGCATGCAAGACATCTAGTTTCTTTATGGAAAATCGTTTTTGTTCATTTCCTGACTCTCCCTCTGCTCTCCAACACCTGCCTAAGACAGAAATTTAATTCTGCAGCCATCTGAGGAACGTGAACATTCAGGCCTTTGCTCCTAATTTGATCATGTCGATGCAGAAACCGTCCTTCCAGCTGTAAACTGTGCATGTGGCAGACTTTAAATCATAGCCGGACTGGAGGGAGGCTCACATTCTGATCTCATAGTTATTGGTAGAGGAAGCTTAAAAAAATACCACATTCCTCCAGAGGACAGACGAGACAGTTTGACATTTGTGTACCTGACCGACTTCTGAACCTGGAATTTATGAGCTACCAAGAAGACTCCACCTCCACAAATCATGATAGACTTAGCACCACGCTTTGATATAATCAGAGTCAGGAGAAGTCTGACATCCACTGCAGCCATGTCTGGAAACATTCAGACCTCATCCGAATGCCCTGAAAATAGACTACAATCTAATGAGAGAGAGATGACTTGGCTGAAGTGTCGCAGGGGAAATCATCTGCCAGCAGAACACCTACGCAGCACTGCAGCATATTTATCCTCAGACCCAGCTCTCTTGCGCAAGCTCTCCCTCATGGCCATGTTTGTGTGAGACTGCAGGAAATGACCATCTTTAAGTGCCCATTCAGTCTCAGATCCACTCCTACGGTTCTGACCACAAGAGTGTGTCCATAGCTTCACCAAATCCCAAGCTGATACCTGATATCTGATGCTAGACTGTGTTAGAAACAAGTGGAGCCATCTCAATGATTTAAAGTATGGAGTGTATGTCAGCTCTTCCTATGTCCAGTGTTCTCTGTGAAAATTCAATTTAGTCCCATGTGTTTAGAGTTTAAATTATTTTTTTCCATCACTCCTCATGTAAAAAAAAATATAGAGAAAAGAATCTTATATGGTGTTTAATTTTCCTTTCTCCTCGTCACCTCACAATATTTATACTAGAAGGAAAGGATAAAAACAGATATTTTGATGACGCACAAAGACAGAGTTGGCTATCTTAAATACATGGGTAGGGTGGTGCCCTGTAACTCATCTGGTAGAGCATGTAACCCCCCCCCCCCAGATGTCATATTTAGTTCTGTTGAATGTCACTTTTTGATGTTGGCATGCACAAAAGGCTTTACATTATGTTTTGTTTCAATGCCTCAAATGAAAACGCTTGACACAATGGTGGGATAATTTCTCCCACCTGCCCTGCAGTGTCCAGAATCTCCATGGTAACAACCTCATCATCAATGTTGGCTTGGTGCCGATACGTGGATTCTGTAAGACAAAAAAAGACAACAAAGAGTTAATCCTGTTTTTAGAAATTCAGTCCAGTGTGAGTCATGTGATAATAGGGACACCTGACTCCCAACAGAGGAGTTAAACTCATGATGCATTTTTGAGTTAGTTAATTAGATATCAGGTTGGCAGAGTTTGGAAGTGAGTGGAGGATATATCATCATTGTTGAGGTGGGGAATATAATTCCACCTACTGTTTTCTTTTATGATTCACAGCATGTAACAGTGGTTTTTGTATAGGAAGTAGGTGTGGAGGATGATTTTCTAACACAAAACACATTATAACTTTTGTTTTGAGCCTGGAATTTACTGTTGTACAAGTAATTTACCAATGACTAGGGACATTATTCATAATTAGCGCTTGCAGTAACATGCAGAGCCCCTGGGTCTGTCTGTGGTAGACCCGCTTAGTGATTCATCTATGGCCTATGATATGAAAAAAGCGAGATGGAATGGCTATGTCAGCTATTCTTAAATTTTGACACTGTAATTAATAGTTCAGCCAAGAACTGACAGATTTTTACTTTTCACCAACAATAAAAAACTCTCATTATGATACATTAAAACATCAACAAATCATTGATCTTTCCTAAAGTATGTTTGTTGTGCTTTTCACTCATGTCAGCTCTCAGCAGGTGTTTTGTCTGCCTCCTCTGTGATTACAGCATGCAACTATGGTTTTGCACTAAACAAGGACATTTTTCATAATCAGAACTTTTTTGTTGTAGTAATTTTTCTTGTAACAAAGCATTTTTCTGTTGTGGTATTGCTACTTTGGTAAGTGAAGGATCTGATAATGTTCCACCAGTAATTATCAAAATCAAAATCAAAGCTCCTTATCACACTGCTAAATGCTCAAATAATTTTCATCAGATTTGTACTGAGACTCCTACTCTCAGTTTATTTGTTTGTATAGTGATGTAACATGGTGCTTCTGTTTGTCTTTTGTTTGTGGCATTTTCAAAATTATAGTTAGTTATGCTTAGTTATGATCACCAACATTGTTTCAGTTCATTCTGATGTGAATGACTGTCTGTGCCAAATTTCATGACAATCCCTTGGATAGAAAAGATTGAAAATAGAAAGTCGGTAGGATTCATGAATATGATTGGATGTTACTGATCAGCTGGTAGTCAAGTCAAATCAAATGAAGCATCATTCTCATTTCAGGCAATCATTGTCACACACATGGCAGAATTAAAAGACCTTTGCCAAAGTGCAAGAAAATAAAACACTAAATACACGACAGTAAATGGTACACATTATGACATAATATATATGTGAGTACAGTAAATAGAAGTGACCTGTGCCAAATAAGGGAATACAGATATTCAATGCAGTGAGTGAGTGGTTTGTAGTGATCCTGGTCTATATAGAGTGACTTTGAATGCATGTGGCAGCCTGGTGGTTCTGGTCCTGACACTGCAGATGCACCAGATGATGCATTGATATGACTGATCAGGTAATGCAAGCATGAATTTGGTGCTCTGCTTTTGTTTGAATTCACATCTATTTACATTAAATACAATGGATGTCAGGTATTGATACCATGCTATAATCGCCTATATAAACTTTGCCTGAGCTTTTCAATCAGCAATTACTGCTACCTAGCTTGACACAGCCAGACCAAATACATGTGGCTTTAAAACGTCCCTTCAGAAACCTCTGTCCGATGTGGACATCACTGACGTCCATGTTTCTGTTATAAATAAAAATAAAGTCGCAGGCTGATTCCTGTCTGGCTCAGACAGACACTGCATTGTTTGAAAAGGACATCACGTTTCCATTTTCCTTGGTTCCTCCTCCATTAAATCATTATCTTGCGTCTTGGAGCCAAGCCCTTCAGTCTTTTTCACCAGGCTGTTGGACCTTGCTGGTTGCTGGGGAGATGGCTGGCTCCTGCATTGACCTGAAAAGACCTGAAACGACCTGAGCTTCACCTCTAGCTGGCCTGAAAAGCAGGATAAGAGCTTCTTATCCCTGGCACAGGAACACAGGTGTGAACTGTGGCCGTGACCTTTCAGTCCACCTTGGACAGCACAGGAGTTATCTGCCTGAACTGCGTCCTTGTAAAAATCCCATCTGTGTAAACACCTCACAGAGAGCACTGAAGCCCTTAAATCCTTATTGTAAAGGCAGGATTCCGCCGTCAGGTTATAAGCCAGCACTTTTTTTCAAAGCTTTTGGCTAAATCCAGTCTTACAATTCCTTTCAGCTTGAGAGTCATGCCCTGCCTGTTCTCCTGCCATTTCTTCATGTGTGCTTCATTTTTGAAGGGAGAGTATTTGAAAGCTTTGCTCCATTTACAGGCATTGTAAGTCAAGAAATCAACTTTAGAATAACTTTGGTGGGCATTGCTTTTTCATGTTCCCATCGCTGAACATTTTTCTTTTAAAATGTTTCCCCACTCTTTTCTTATAGTTTCAAAATTCCATAACATAGAAACATGGCGATGCCGAATCTTTATCTAATCTTGAGCCTCTGCTGGTGGATAGTGGCACATACAGCAGGGATTTAAGCTTGTGATTGGATGTTTCCTACTGAAATGCACCTTGGGATTCATAATTAACTTCTCACTGTACATTTCTATGGACAAAGTCTTGTACCTTTTTGTTCATATTTTGTACTGATGATTAAACTGGAAGAGCATCAAAGTGCTCCAACTGCCAGTCACTGTGTGTCATGTCACATGCAAAATAGTCTCACATAGCCAGACCTACATCCACAGTGCTGTGTCACGGTCTGACTGCACCTTTATCAGTCTGGCTTGTTATCATTTCTTTAAGCCAATCATAATGGTTTTGGGCAGCGCTGAGCCCACGATGCAGCAACAGTGTCCCGGCAAAATACTGTCGCACATCAACTGTGTGATTTGGAGATTCAAATCTTTTTCAGTGTGTAGGTTGAAGCTTGGAGGTTGTTGTTGTTTCCTGTAGTGAAGGGGATATTGAAAGGAGACTGCCATGCCATCCGGAATTGAGCTGGAGATGACGACAGTATTTAAATCAAAATGCTAAAAGTGCGAATTAAAGTGCAGCAGCGAGTCTCGCCCAAATTTGCAGGCAGCAGGCATTATGACTAATATCCACAAGCTTACAGGCCAACAGGCACTGTCTACTGAGACCAAAGCCAGGCCACCATGTAGGCAGAATACACAATTATGTCCTGCAAATCCTTTTGATTTATTTATTATAAAGATATGAAATTAACCAATGGCTCTGACCCAGTACAGGGAGCCCCTTCCTCAATGGATAGATCATCACTCTGACCAGGGGCCGCCATGTCAGTCATATCAGTGGATATATTCGATTGGACAGTTGCTGCAGTACCTGAGCCAATCAATCATTATGCTGGTAAAGGACAATATAATGTGCAAAACGATGGTGCCTCCAAAGTGCATATATACCTCCAGCAATGCCAAATGAAAATGAAGAAAACGAACACAGAACAGAAGTCAGGATTCAGGTCTGTGTCATGTACCTGTAGTCATGAGACATGTTGATCTGTCCCACAGCTTACACAGCCTTCAAGGCTGAAGGACTGTTCTTACTAAGTGAAAGGGAAGCACTGCTGTGGTTGGGTTTGTGTGTGCAGTCGTCAAGGAACAATGAAATCCATATCAGATGACTTAAAGCTGAATTTTGTCACACAGGTACTGGCTGAGTTTGTAATGCTGTTTCAGGTTGTATATATATAATATATATTTAAATTTATAGTGCTTTGGTCATTGTTGGACTGAAAAGTGCTAGCATCCAGCTATTTCCTGGAGCAAGTACAGAGCAGTACAGAGCCCGCATCAGTCAAACTCACAAATGTATCAGTCGAAAAGAATCGTTCATTAATTTTTGACCAGTCCTATAACCAAGGGCTTCTCAGGTTACAACACAGACTATTTGGAAGTAATGGCATTATTATAAACCAATAAAACTACTATAACCACCAATTGAACTGAATTAAAGTTTTAACTTGTTTTAATGTGAGAATAAATTGTTAAAATCTCACTCCCAAAGTGAATATGTGCTAAAACTTAATTGTTTTCCCTTCATGACTCAATTGCTAGGCTGATGATATATTATCAGCTGTGCTCCACTAGTTTAGCCATAAGTTGAAAAATCCAAACAAACAAAGCTGAAGACCTGTCAGACAGATGTTCAGATTCTCAGTGACAAGAGGGTTTAAAATAGCAGTTCTGAAGCTTTGCTGTTGCTCCAGCCCCTGCACGTCCACCCCACTGTGTCCCAGGTGCACTCACTTCTCCAGGGGATAAACTGCGTCCTGTGACGTAAAATGAAATGTCACAGAGAGCCAGAGGCGGAAGTAGTGTGGCGATTTATAGCTGCTTGGCTGGAAGCATGAGGAGCATCTCAGAGGGGGGAGAACCAGAGTCTCGCACTGCGACTCATGGGATAGCCTATTTCAGGAGCCATCACTCTGTCAGCTGCAAACAGCACCCAATCTGTACATGTCCGCCCCTCAGTATATTTGTTGCAAAATGCACTGACAGGGGGCAGGCTCAGGATGATTTACCGAGCCCCACTACTCTATCTTTTGGTCTTGGAGAGAAACAAAAGCAGCAATTTTCCTGGCAGCAAGTAATTCATCCCTCATAATTCAAAACCCCTCAGTGCCTAAAGGCTCTTTTGGCAGAGGACAGAAAGAGAAAGTGTCACGCCAGAGTCCAAATCTCAAAATAGGTCAGCTCTTCAATGCCTGCCACCCTAAACTGGTCCAATATCTAAAGAATAGTTTTGCGCTGGCTATACTGTAAGCACATTTCCAAATATTCACGTGATGCAATATTAAGCATAGTTACTGCTGTGATGTCAAACTGAAGCAGAAGTAGCTTACAGTTAATTCTCTGAGCCACAGATGAGATTCTGTGACTGGCTGGTGTGTCAGGACAGAAATAACTGCTGCAATATTGTGGCCATCTGCATAGCTACTGTTTCCCATAATGCTACAGGGAATGATATCCAACTGGTCATCTTGTAATATCTGGGGAGTTTGTGCACACTTGCAGCATTCAGCCCACAACATACGCAAACAAAGACAGCCTGTGACTGAGTAAAAGTTGAAAGCCTCTAATAATAAGCTGTCCACATTTTCATGTCTTTTTGTATGATAATAATTATAAAGCAATAACATGGGATGGTGCAGGTATTGCTATTTTTATGTCTGTGTACTGTAGAACAGTGATCAGTGATGCTACTCACAGGTTTTTAGGGGATGTACTACTACTACTGTTTTACTGCTGGAGCCAGAATATGCAAATGTGGCGTGCTGCCACACATACCTCTACTCTAAATTTCAAAATTTGGCATTCATTTGCGGGTACAATTCAAATTATTATTGCAGTGATTTGCTTCCATATGTTGCATCTTAAAGTGCAACCTCAATGGCTTTAGCTTTTACCAGCATGGTGGTTGTTTACTAACACAAACCCTCCAGCTATACCAGTAATAAAAAATACAACATGTCAGCTGGTGTCTATTCTACCTGTGAAGTGGTATATAAATCTAACTATTGATGGATCCGCCCACTTTATTGTTAAATTGAATGTATGTATCCCAGTTGCTTTTTCACTCAGTCTTTATGCATTAAGCTTTTATCTGATGCTCTCACTCGAAAAGAAAAGAATAGAAATCTGCAGAGGATCTGAATGAAGGACACTACAACCGTTTGTCCTGAATTTGCTCTTACTACTCTTTTTTCCTTCCGTTTTTCAGTGTGGTGTGTTTAAAGGTGTGGTGTGGTGTGTTTTCTGGAAAGCAGTGTGTCCATGTTTGTTTTTTTCTGATAAAGGGTTCAACAGTCCAGGAGGAATGTCACATTTACTTGAGCCAGCTGATGTTGCTTTGGGTGCTGGCCTTTAGAGGTGTAGGAGACACCTCTGCTCGAGGTGCGAACCAGGACGCGCTGGAGCGAGGACAGGCATCAAGGCGTTCCTCCTCTCTGTTTGAACGTGTGCTAATCGGCTAAATCTGCTATGGTCGCTGTTCGGAATGAAACTGTACAAAAATGAAACTCTCCATGGCGTGTGATTCCATAGTCCTCAATATCCCAGAATGCCAGGTAACACCAGTGATTCTTCACTGTAGAAAAGAACATCTGTGCTTGTTTGTGACCTCTGGATAAATAGGTGGATGATAAATGGTGATGGATGGTGAGCCGTAGACACTGGAAGGCATACTGAGATCCATGACATGCAGTAAGTTCTGGCAGTAATCTTGCATTTATAAGACCAGCACTGTGCCCGCACACAGGGTTTTAATAATGTGTTGACTACTTCATGGGTAATTTCAGACAGGCAGTCTGATTGGTCACAGACAACCTCCAACAGTACTGTTATTCCCATTATGCACCTCAAGCTGTGCTCTCTTGGTTGTGACGCCAACTCTTGTGGTAACCAAGGAAGCAGTTATTGCTCTTTTCTCGTTTTTCAAAAACATGTAGAGTACCTGCAGTGTATACAATACACATGTATGAAGCTGGTACACACAGTAACATCACAAAAAAGCTGTCTACAGGCTTATTGTTGTGCTGTATTCAGAGGAAAGAAAATTAGCCTATTTATTTCTACCCATTTCTAATGTTGTTAATAACAGCTACCTGAGTTTTGTCCTAAAATGCCAGCCTTTCGGTTGCTGTAAATTTAATGTGTTTCAAATTTCTCTAACTTAAAATATCTCAACAATCGCCCAGCCATATGTTGAGATGTGACACGGAGGACATAATGGCTACAAGATCGGGATCATCATGTTCTAACATGAAGATTAAAAAAGAGAATATGTTCCTTAGTGCAGTCCGTTTATGTTGGTAATTGCACTCTGCTGAGATGAACCTGATGTGCCACTGCCAGCAGACGTGCTACTGAGGAGAGCACCATGTCAGCAACCCAGAGGCTCTGACTGACTGCGTACAGCCAGGAAATGAAAAGCACTGTACAGAGACATGATGTCTTTGTGCTCTGTAATTACAGTGCAGGGAATTGGCTCATTCTGTATAACTTTATAAAAAGGTTATATATTATGCACTGATGGGGGCAGGAAAAAAAATTGAACTAACCATAACTATATAATCCAGTACTTAATACCTTCTCTGATGCAGTGTGGATTGTCACCACTTTTTACTCCTGTCTTCTCTCATGTATATGTTCTATATAATTATGTAATTATCCTCCTAAAGCGTGACTTTTTAACTCTTGAGATCCATGGATTTTTTTTATATAAGTTCTTAAAAGAATAGTTCAGCATTTTGGTAAATACTCTTGTCTGCTTTGATAACATTCATGTCTATATGCTAAATATGACGCTACAGCTAGCAGGCAGTTAGCACCTCTAAAGCTCAGTAATTAGCATGTTATATATTGTTTGAATTATAAAATCCTTAATTCTTGGCTTCATGAGGAGTTACATGCTGAAACCATTTTCTTGGCCAGCCTGCAGAGACAGTAAATCACTATGCCCAGCACATTACTTCCCATAAAACCACCAACTGACATTTTTGGCTGGATCGCAACAGCAGGGCCAGCCCTATAATCGTGGATGTCACTGACTGACTGACTGACTGACCGACCAACCATATTTCCACCATTGGTCAGCTGAATGCCACATGACTGAGTTGGAGTTTCCCCATTGGCTGTTGCTCTTTCAAAATGAATTGGTGCAAACCGTGTCTATTAGGGGGTGTTTTCAGTCTGCAGTGTTGCCAACATAGTGCATTTGAAGCAAACTGAACTAAGGCCACCTCTCAAGGAGGTCTTAGTTCAGTTTGCTGAGACAACCTCTTCATGTGCGCTTCAAGTTAGTGTTGTGGTCCGCTTCACCTGTGCATTGTGAACACAAAGCACTCCAGGTTTGCATGGCCTTGCGCCGTTGTATTTCAGCCTTGTTGTACACAGGTCAGATGCTTTAAAAACAATATAGACTGAACCATAGCTGCTGGTAATGACAGCGTCCACCGTTAGCAAAGATAGGAGGAGAGAAGCGAACAGATTGCGACATGGTCCAGCCAGATAATAGGTTTTACAATTAGATTCAATTAGTGAGCTATAGAGGTGCCAGTAGGTGGATTACCAAACTATTTTATTACCATGATTCCAGTCTTTATGCGAAGTTGAGCTAACCACCTCAAGGCTAGCTGCAGAGAGTGGTATCAGTCTTGTCATCTAACAGACAGCAACTCAACAAAAAACAAATAAATGTTGTAATAGTAGTAGATAGTATTGATGGTAGCAGCAGTAGTACTGTAGTTATCATTGCAGTAGTTATAGAAAAGGAGACAGCAGCAGGATTAATGGCAGTACCAGCGATCATAGTAATGATGGTAAAAGAAACAGATATCTGGTTGTCTTACCAAGCGTTGGGTCGTACTCCCAGATGAAGCGTCTGGTCAGAAGTCTCACCACCAAAGCTGCAGACAACAACAGATACAAACATGCTCAGGATATGAAAACAGCACCAGAAAAATGTAGTTTAGATATACCACTTACAGTACCTTGAATGTTGATGATGAAAAATAAACTTGAAGTGCACGACCGTCACTTAATAATAGTGCTGATTATATCAGGCTGAGGGCCTAATATATGCACGTCTACTTCAACAGCTAATCAGCTGTGGATAGCCCAGCAAGAGTCCACAAGATCCAAACCACTTTAATACACTTTTCATCTAAATGCTAATGTCTATTTGAACAGTTCCACATCATTAAAGCAGAGTTCAAAGAGCCTTCATGAAACATCGGCTCTCCAAGTTCATCATCAGCTGCTTCTGTCTTATGGGCAAGTTAGTCTGAGCATCAGCCTTCATTATAAAACAAACATCCCCAACAGGGCAGTGACTCACTGGCTTAATGGTTTACCATCAACAAGTAATCTGCCACTTGGAAATGTTGATCTCCTTCATTTAGACAGAATTAGGCGGCCATGGCCTGTGGATCACGCAGTCTGTGTACTGTTTGTCCCAGTAAGAGGACGTGAAAACACCATTTTGAAATCTATATACTAGGACTGTAATGCACAAGGTTTTGAGGGAAGTCTGGAAACCGAATACAAAATTTAATTCACCAATCAAAATGTGACATAAATCTCATTACAGGTGGACTTGGCTAATCTAAAAGCTAAGCTCCACTCTGCTATCTGATTTATTTTATCAGTACAGCCACACACACTTCCACACCAAAGAAAGAAAGAAAGAAAATTATATATATTATATAAATTACATATGTCATAAGACTGAAAGGAATAGTTTAGTTTTTGCTAAACAGTTGTCCTGGCTCTGTCCACATTTTACAGATATGCCCGTTGCATTCACATTTTTGTTTCTGCACTGAATAAAGAAATGAGATATATTGATTTGTGAATTTTACCAGTGTTAATAGGAAGATTTACTTTAACTTTGGACAGAGAAAAGCCGGCCATTAGTAAGAGACAGCTTCAGAAAGGTATAGGGGGAAGGGGTTTCCGAATCTGTTGGACTAATCGATCCAATTTCCAACTTCTGAAGGAACAGACTGGCCCGTTGGTCATACCAGACCAATAAGGCTATAGCAGCACAACCCCTGAATGCATTAAGCAAAGATACACTTCATTTCTCATGAATCTCTGAAACTTTTCATTTGTAAGAGGAAGAATGTCCTGTTTTGTCTGTCTCACTTGTAAAAGGTAAATCAGACTTTATTTGTTAATTGTTTGCTAACACAAAAACAAGCAAGTGTTCACACTTTCAATTCACTTATCCACAGGAGCTGTCATGTGCCTGAGTGACTCCCAATGGGCCTGAGTGGTCCACTTGAGTCCAGGTATCTGTATTTGCGGGTATCTGTGTCCTTGTGTCTTATTTAGCTGCTTCTTATGGAACGGAGACAATGGGGAAAGAGCTTTGCCATTGAACTGGAGAAAACAATCATCCACCTTGGCCAGGCCTGCTTTCTGCTCATAATTAGCCATGACAAATAACGGGAAGAAAACCAATTATGTCAGCCTGAGTGTCTCTCACATGTTTCATTGCACTTCTAAAGAAGTCCAGCCTTTGAGCTCAGAGAGTGTTTGATGGTGACTGAAATCTCAGTTTGTGACTCGCAAATATGGAGTAGCTGTGGAAAGCTTCGCCCTAGTCATTTATTTCCCTGACATTTCTTTTACTTCACAACATTGCATAAGAAAAACTAAGTTTGTTGCAGGTGATTCACAAGGAGGTGGTTGGGGTGTGTGGTGTCTGTCACACCAGAGATTATTGGGGTTTGAATCCAGACTTCTGTCTGGTGGTTTGGTTTAGGCAACAAAAGCTGTTTGATTGAGTTTAGGGAAAGATTGTGGTTTTGGTTAAATGTAAATAACCATGTTGTGTCTGAAGTTCTGTATTACAGAGTTCCCATAGGTCCTTGAAAATTTGTGAATTTGAGAAAAAAAAAATTTTGAAAATAGACATGGTTCATTGGAACTTGGACTTATATATTTTATCTTCAACTCGTTAATCGCTCAGTTTACACAGTATATAGATTTCAAGCCTCTCTATTTTTAATGTCTGTGAGCCTCTGTTAAGTCTTTAGTTCTCATTATAAAAATTATTTTTACTAATATGTATCAACCTATTTGCAACTTACCAAATACGTAAATTAACAACATATTCTCATTACATTAATGTAAAACATAATCTGGTCGTAAATACTTTTCCCATGAAACGTATTTGCTGCTACAGTTTAGTTGTAAATCAACTTAATTTCTAGCAGACAGGGTTGTCTTAATGTGTTTTCAGGCAAAGGAAATGTGTGTCATTTCTTCTAAATTATTCTCTGAATGTGCTGAAAGCGGAACAGCAGCAGATAATTTGTCATGGTGTTGAGAAGGCAAACTTACACACATTTTCTCTCTTGTTCGCCGCTGAATTTCCCACTGAGGTTATTTGGTGCTGTTTCTACTACAGTGGCCTGGATTCCAGGTAGACAGAATAACCAATGGGGTGTGAAGTCCTCTCCTCATTAGAGGTAACTGTATCTCCTGCTTTTCACCGCCACTGGACAGAAATGTACACATGGAAGAAGAGAGCCTTTGTTAACGTGCAGCAGTATGGATGTTGTGGCCCAGATTCACAAAAGGTTTGCAGAAGAAATAATGTGCAGTGTATCACTAAGCTGACCAGATCACAAAGGCCGTTGATTCACTAACTGTAGTGAGAGGGAAGCTGATCACAAAAAAAGAAGCCTCTGTGAACCTGTCACAATGATACATATTGCTGCTACTATTAAAACTCCCCTCATTTACTGTAGCTCATATTAATTATTTTTAAAGGCTGCATTAAAATGTGAAATAAATTGGTCATTTGGACCAGTTTCTAATATTGCTATGCTATTATCAAAAAAAAAAAGAGTAACAAAGGTTTTCCATTCACAAATGTCAGTTCAGATCAGGCTGTGCTCTAATTACAATGTGCTATGGTGCCAAAACTGAAGCATAAACCAGCGTGTGTGATGATGTAATAAAAAATACATGCACCTACAATTGGTGGTAAACATAAGTTTACTCAAGCAGTGAGGTTTTGCAGAATTTGTTCGTGACTCGATTTGATTAGCATACATTGCTTTATGCATAAAAATAACAGGCAGTGCTCTTAGCTGAAGCAACCAAGTCAAAACAATTTCACCAAACAGTGTTAATACCTGTATCTAGGCCAGGTTTTTGTGGTACATATTGTAATGTTTAAAATTTTGTCAAAATGAATCTTTAAAGCTACATTAATCAATAGTTTTCAGTTTTACTCAGCTATGGATGAAATGACATAAAGATGTCACCCACAAATAATTATCACCTGACTCAGTTCCCATCAGATATACAGACTATTTTAGTATCTTAAGTCTTAATTGTTTTGATTTTTTACAGCCCGCAATTTAACTGGTTTAATTCTGTGTCACTGTTCTCATCGACCTCGTTTCCAGCTGTAGCTGTTTTCTGTGACAAAGCTCTGATAAATCCACTGTGTAATGGACTGCACTTATTTCCTGGTCTTGTCAACCACTGCTTTACACTTCAAGCCACATTCACCCATTCACGCACACATGCATACAGCGCTTTTACTATCACATGCACACAGTCACACACCGATGATACATCAGGGGCAATTTGGTTCAATATCTTGCCCAAGGACACTTTGACATGTGGACTGGAGGAGTCAGGGATCAAACCACAGACTTTCTAATTAGTGAATGACCCGCTGCACCTCCTCAGCCACATTTAGCAGATTTTCCTCAGGAGTTGGTGAAATGCAAAACAGCTAAATTTTGGACTTACTTTGCCACACAACTCTGAATGAATGGTAGTGCTGCTCTGTATCAGCTGGATTACACATGTAACAGTGGCACGAGTACAGACGAGTTATATGGTCAGGGAACTGATGCTGTTGTGTTCATCATATACAGCAATATGTGCTTGCCAGCATTAGCTAATATTAGTCACCATAAGCTTGTGTCCTACCAGATTGAGTAAGGCTGTAGCATCAAGACAACTGAGTGTACTGAACTGAGCAAGGATGTATTTATTTCTTATGAATTCAGCTTTTCAATTTTCAGAGGAAGAATGTGTTATTTTTTTTGTCACAGTCTCTTTGACGTCTTGAATTTCTCAAGTTTTCCTCCATGTTGATGTGTGGGCAGAACAGTTTGACAGGCTTCTCGAGTTCACTGTTGAGGTAGCAGGTGGGAAAATACAGTATCTGCAAGCGAGCTGAATAAAGACACTTTGACAAACACGCTGTACTGACAGGTCTCCTGTGGCACCGACACCATGCACAAGGAATATTTTCATCACCTGACAACCAGTCTCCAGAAGGACATAAAACATCAGAGGAATGATGACATTCCATCTTTATCACTAAAGCACTACATTTCGCACAATGACAGAGCGAAAATCAGGCTGCAGGAGTGGTTGCGGTTTGTGTTTATTCCCTGATGTCACTCCAACATGGCAGTGTTTTCTCCCTCACATACAGTGTACAACTCCAGTGCAGCTGTTCCCATATAGTATCTTGTGTCTGGCACGCTGACGATATCAATATGCTGGGATATTGTATTTCTGTCCTTCTCAAACTGCAAACTTGTTTTCCACAACTTGATATTTCCCAACAGATACTGCACCCAAAGTCTGAGTAGAAAAACTAATCTGATTTCATCAAATTTACCAAATGGCCAAGACTTCACAGGGCTGCTCTGTGGATGGAGTTAGCAGTGCCAAGTTTTCAGATTTACGTCAAACACATCATCCACAGGAGGTGTTTGCCCAAAGCTGCTTTTGTCCAAAGTGACCTAATCACATTAGCAGCAGAATGTTGGACTAATTGCAAACAAAGCAAGAGCAATTAGCGACACCCATGGCCCTGTTCTGAGCCTGCACAGTGTTAGTCATTGAACAGTCTCTATTGATT